AACAAGTTACAATTCAGGTGAGAAATAGGATACAGTTCAGTCAGGACAGCTTCTCAAGCATGCCTGTGTATTCTTCCATCTTCAGCCTCACAGCTTTAGGTAAGTGTTATAAAGCTCTCCAAGTCTTACCAATTATGCTATCAAGCAGAAAGTCTAGGCTTTGGCTCTGGCTCTGACTCTGTGAGGCAGCTCTTTCTCAGGGGGGTCTCTGGTTCTCTGCTATTGCTACCCTGTCTTCATCTCAGTCTGTTCTCTCTCACAGAGATCTCTCTTGCACTAAAGAACACATGCTGCATTCTCTACTTCTTTCTTATAGAGAGATTCTCATTTACTCTCTCTTAATCTGTTCAATTTAAATCTGATGAAATGGTAAGACCTCTGCCCTCATTAGCTAGTTGTTGTTGTTGTTGTTGTTGTTGTAATGTGCTGCCAAGTTGCCTGTGACTCAGTGCTTTATGTACAACAACCCTACACCTGCTCTAGCCTATGCCAATCTTATTGTCTCTGATACACCTACCCCCATTATCCCAGTCACTGAATGAATCCATCTCATCAAGGGTCTTCCTCTCTTGCACTGTCCTTCCACCCTCCCAAGTAAGATGTCCCTCTCCAAGGACTGGTCCCTCCTTGCAATGTGTCCAAAGTATGTCAGACAAAGTTTCAGAATCCTTACCTCCAAGGAGCAGCTTGGCTGCACCCTCTCTAGGATGAATCTGTTTGTTCTCTTAACAGGCCATAGGGTATTCAATACTCTTCTCCAGCATTACAGCTCAAAGGCATCAACTCTCTGTCATCCCTACACATTATTCAGATCTTTGATGCAAAGCAAATAATTCCAGACTATGGTCTGAATCAGGCACACTTTAGTCTCTAGACTGACATCGTTGCTCTTCAATACTTTGGAGAGGTTTCAGAGAGCAGACTTTCCCAATGTAATAAGTCTTTTAATTTCCTGGCTGCTGGTATCAAAAGTTAATTCTATATACATCTATTTTGTATTATTGCACTCAGTTATTTGACAAATGGACAAGGAAAACATTTATTAATAATAAATTAAAATTGTGCATCAGGTAAGTAATGAGTTGGAACCCACTCAATAGCCCTTAACAACAACAACAACAACAAATTTAATAGTGACAGTATGTGAAAGAACTCCAATAGTAATTTTCAGATGATTGTTATTGTTGTGTACCATTAACTCAGGAACCGACCCATACCTGACCCTCTGGTGGGTTTTCAGAGGCTGTTAATAGCACAGGAGAAGACGGCCCATCCTTCTCCCATGGAACACCTGGAGGACTCTAATCATGTGCCATTGGGATTGCAGCTCAGATGATACAATTTGGGGGAGGGGGATTATGAAATAAAAGGCAATATTGTTGTTGCTGTTAGGTGTCATCGAGTTGAGTACTACTCATAGCCTATTAACAACAGATCTGAACTCTGTCCTATCTAGTGCCATCCTCATCATCTCTGATACATTTAAGCTTATTGCTGTAGTCACTGTGTCAATCCATCTCATTGAGGATTTTCTTTTTGCTGACTCTCTACCTGTCAAAGAATTATATCTTTTAAAAAAATCACCCCTCCTAACAACATGCCCAAAATAAATAAGATTAAGCTTCACCATCCTTGCATCCAAGGAGCACTTTGGCTGCACCTTTCCCAAGGCATATCTGTTTGTTCTTTAAAGAGTTCATGGGATATTCAGTGCTCTTCTCCAATACCACAACGCAAAAGCATCATTCCATCTTCTGTCATCCTTAGTCATTGTCCAGCTCTCAGATACATAGCAAGTGATTGAAAAGACCATGACTTGAGTCAGATGCACCTTTGTCTTCAAACTGACATCATTGCTTCTCAGTAACTTGGAGAGATCCATGTCAGTGTACTTGCCCAGTGCAATAGGTCTCTTCATCTCCTAACTGCTGGGACCAACGGTGTTTGTTATGTATTCAAGTAAGATGAAATAATTAACAATCTCTCTCCTTTCTTCATCTACCATGATGTTGCTTATGGGTTCAATGGTAAGGATTTCTGTCTTCTTGATGTTAAGATGTAATCCATTCTGAAGGCTGTAGTCTTTGATCTTCTGCAGTGTTTCATGTCCTCCTCACTTTTCAACAAGCAAAGTTATGCTATCTGCATAGCAAAAGTTTTTGATGAGTTTTCCACCAATCCTAATGCCACATTCTTCTTCATAGAGACCAGTCTCTGGAAAGATTTCCTCAGAGTATTAATTAAATATGAAGAAATGATAGAGCCCTGTCGTGCACTTTTCTCAATTTTTTATACCATGCAGTATTCCCTTGCTCTTTTCAAACAACAGCTTCATGATCTAGGTATAGGTTTTGTATTAAGGGTTCTGGGGTTCACATTCTTCTTAATATTGGCCATAATGCAATTTTGGCAAAAATGTTCTCATTCTGTCTATCTGTCTATCTATCTATCTATCTATCTATCTATCTATCTATCTATCTATCTATCAGAACATATATAAGACACTTTGGTGGCTTAGTGGGTTGGCAGCAAAGCTGCCAACATATACAGTTCGAATCCACCACAGGAGAAGATGTGCAATCTTCTCCAGCATGATTTGCAGCCTCTGAAAAACTAATGGAGGGTTAGCTATGGGTTAGTTGCAATTCTATGACAATGAGAGGGGTTTGGGTTTTTGTTTAGTTTTAATATATATTAATTTGATCTAGGAATCGCTGGTGACTTTGTGATAAAGAGCTGCATTGCCAACCCAAAGGCAAGCAGTTGGAATCCACCAACTGCTTTGAAAGAGAATGACAGTCAATTTCCTATGTGATTTATGGCTTTAGGGCCCCTGGAGGGTCAACTGTGAATTGGTTCCCCATTTGATGGCACACAACAACAATCCAATCTAGGGAGCTCTGGCAGTTTAGCCCTAAGCAAGTTTCATGGCCATCCCAAAGGCCTGCCATCTCTGGAGACTCAAATCCACCAGGTGATCTGCAGGACAAAGAAGAACAATCTCCTCGGTTAAGATTTACAGCCTAGGAAACCCACGGGTGGATCCTTAAGAACTGGAACTAACTCCACAGCAGTGAGTCTTGAGTTTGGTTTTTGATCCAGTCTAGCCCCAGGTAGTCTTCTGTCCAAGTAATTCTCTATGTTAAATTTAGATCACATCCCTGTGAATAATAGAATAACTTTCAGCATTGCAAAGGCAAGTTCCAGGGACCTGTCTCTGCTGGCTCCTCTTTCACTCTATTCCTAACGGACAAAAACTACTAGAGGACACGCAGCAATCTAAAGCAACTGTACAGTACGCCTGTGTCTCCCTCTTTCGCCCCGGGGGCGGTGCCACCGAGCACCCGAGCACCCGTATCGCGGTGCTTTGGGAGCGAGCCAGGGCGTGTCTGGGGCGAGAGTTCTGCTTGGCTCTTCTCCAGGCTAAATAGATGAGGAGGCAAGGGTGCTCACCCTCGAGGTGGCGGCCCACATCCTCTCTGAAGACCTCCAATGTTCAGAGTCAGGAGGAGAGAGGGGAGGCGCCAGGGGTCCATGGTACATGCTGACTAAATGAACTGGGGCGTAGGCTGGAGGGCGGTTAGTAGTTGTTAGCCCAAGAAGTCACGCGCCAGCTGCAAACTCAAGTTTTACCGGGCCAAGTAGATAAGTAATTTGCGGCTTCTGCATGCTGTAAGTGCTTCAAGTTTTAGGACATTTGGGTGCCTTTCATTTTCCTTTGCGTATTCTCTAGTTTTAACATTTAGTGACGTCTACTTTACTGTGAGTGCTGCAACTTTCTACATAGCGTTACTGTGCTAGATTGCCTTTGCCCCAGTGTGTTACAGGCTAGAGAAAAGGAAGGGAAAGAATTGGCGGCGCTGGAACTTGTATTCGAAAATTATGGCATAGTTTCCACTAAGAAAAAAAAATTACGTAACAAAATTGAACTGAGAGACCTGTGGAGAGACGTGAAAAGACGTAGCAACATTAAAAAGTTACATTTCTCCCCCCTTTATTCTAAAGTACTTTTACGTGAAAGGCGTCATTTAGCAATGGTGTGTGTGTGTGTGTGTGTGTGTGTGTGTGTGTGTGTGTTGATGTATATGATGAACAAAACAAAAATCAAGTCCATTGGCATACAGTCATTCCCACCCACAGCAGCTCTATAGTAGAGAAGAAAGGCTCCATAGGGTTATCTAGACCATAAATCTTTTAGGGCGCTCCGACTGCCACATCCTTCTCCCTTGGCTGGTGGGTTGGAACCCCACACCTTTTAGTGAGCACCCGAGCGTTTTAATGAATGTTCACCAGGACTTATGTAATTTTTAGATTATGTCTAGGCATAATATCTAGGCATAGCAAGGGAGTTGAGATCTTGGCTTTTAGAGAGCGCCAAGAGCCAAGGGCCTTCTTTCTTTACGTGGGGCGCCCCTCCCGGCGCCAGGCGCGCCCAGCCCCGCTGGGAGGCGCCCGCCGCGGCCGCACAAGTGTGACCCACGTCTGCTCCTCTCTAGCCTGGAACGCGCTCTGCGCCCGCTCACGCACCCCGCCGCGAGGGCGTGACACAGCGCCGGAGTCGAATTACAGGCCCCAATTAACATATGAATTTGACTGACTAAAAAGAGGGAAGAGGTTAAAAAAAAAAAGAGAGAGAATCTAAGAGGATGCCGCCGACCTCGACTTGGGTGCGCTGGAACTTTTCCCCGGGTGTAAAAACTCTTTGATTGGCTACTCGCACGCGCCGGCCGGCGCCCTCCATTGGCTGAGCAGACACGCGACCGGCGCGAGGAGGGGGCTGGGAGAGGAGCGGGGGAGACACACTGGCGCGTGCCGCTTTTTAAAGGGGCGCAGCGCCTTCAGCAACCGGAGAAGCTCGGTTGCACGCGACTTGGTGTGTGATCTCGTCGTGGGTGGGGGAGGGTCAAGGAGGGGGGGAAAAACATATCTATATAATAAGACTTTGCAGAAGAGACCCGGCAAGGGTTTTTTACTGAACAATTTTGCAAACGCGTCCTCTGTCCCTGAGCCTCCGCGCTTCTGCAGTGCAATGTCCCGCCTGCTGAATGCTGAAGAGTGGGCAGAAGTAAAGGAGTTGGGGGACCACCATCGCCATCCCCAGCTGCATCACCACCCTCAGCCGCCTCCGCCACAACCACCTGCGACCCTGCAGGCGAGAGAGCATCCAGTCTACCCGGCTGAGCTGTCCCTACTGGACAGCACCGACCCACGCGCCTGGCTGGCTCCCACCTTGCAGGGCCTCTGCTCGGCACGCGCCGCTCAGTACTTGCTACATTCCCCGGATCTGGGTGCCTCTGAGGCCGCAGCGCCCCGGGACGAGGAGGACACCCGAGGAGACCTGGGGAGGCGGAGCGGCGGCAGCGGCAGCAGCGGCAGCAGCAAGAGCCCTGGGCCGGTGAAAGTGCGGGAACAGCTGTGCAAGCTGAAAGGCGGGATGGCGGTGGACGAGTTGGGCTGCAGCCGCCAGCGCGCCCCTTCTAGCAAACAGGTGAACGGGGTGCAGAAGCAGAGGCGGCTGGCGGCCAATGCCAGAGAGAGGCGCAGGATGCATGGGCTGAACCACGCCTTCGACCAGCTGCGCAATGTTATTCCCTCTTTCAACAACGACAAGAAGCTGTCCAAGTACGAGACCCTGCAGATGGCCCAGATCTACATCAACGCCTTGTCTGAGCTACTGCAAACGCCCAGCGGCGGGGAGCAGCCGCCTCCACCACCAGCCTCTTGCAAGAGCGACCACCACCACCTGCGCGCAGCCGCCTCCTATGAAGAGGGCGCGGCCACGGCAGCTGCGACCGGGGCTCCGGTGGTCCAGGGAGGAGGACAGCGGCCCGGGGCGCCTGGGAGCTGCCGGACTCGTTTTGCTGCCCCGACCTCCGCTGGAGGGTACTCGGTACAGCTGGACGCTCTGCACTTCTCGACTTTCGAGGACAGTGCCCTGACGGCTATGATGGCGCAAAAGAACCTGTCGCCTTCGTTGCCCGGGGGCATCCTACAGCCGGTGCAGGAAGAAAGTAGCAAAACTTCGCCCCGGTCCCACAGAAGCGACGGGGAGTTTTCCCCTCACTCCCATTACAGTGACTCCGATGAGGCAAGTTAGGAAGGTGTCAGAGACCCTGCAAACTGAGAAACAAAAACGTCCTTTTCCCAGTGCGCGGGACGCCTCACAGCTAGATTCCCGCACTCTTTAATTTTCCTCCTGCTATGATCGTTGTTTAGCAACGACTTGGCTTCAGATAGCAGCTACGTTTGTTGGGTTGCCCGGCTCTCCCTCAACTTCCAATGGTCCAAATTGTTGATGAAAACCCTCTATTAAAGTTTTATCCTTTCCTTCCACATCTGCTCCCTTGTAGGTAGATAAAGAATGTCTATGGCATTATTCTGGTCCCCATACGCTGCTAAAACGTCACATCTCTTCTGTCACTGGTTTAGGTTTCAATTATGTTATGTCCTGGACATCCTCAACCCCTACGTGTTGTGCGCGCTCACGTATGAAAGTCTTCCGAAGTCGTTTCCCAAAATGAGTCAGGAAATGCGCAATTGATGCTTATAGCGTGAATAACTTTTGACTGTGGAACTGTTAGGAAACAGGGAACTTTAAGATTTATATGTTGTATATGTATGCCCAATCTCAAGAACGTTTGGCGTCTTCTAGGAAACGGCGTACGCACTTTATCAGCCGCTATTGTGGCTAAGGAAAAACTCAACTGCCAATTGCAGACCAGTTTTGCCTTTTTAAAAAGAAAAACAAACAAACAAACAAACCCCAAACAAACCCTGAAACTATAGCCACTTATAATGCTTAAACTCCTTGCAGGTATTTGTTTAAAAATGGGGGGAAAATAAAAACACAACTTAGTAGTGTCAAAAGCATTTGCTCAATTTTATTTTGCTTGGTTAATGTTAGAAAACTTATTTATTATTGAGTGTTTGCTACTATTTCTACTTGTCTTGGTTGGTTCAAGTTGGTGGGTTTTTTTTTTTACATTTTCTATTAAAATAATTTTATTTTGATTTAGCAAAGCCAATTACCATTGTTTTATGTATTTACTTTTGCAACTGATGACAATAAAAGTGAACAGTGACTTCTTTGTTATTTATTTATTGCACTCTATTAGAAGCGTTGAAAAATGTCTCCTGGCAAATGGATGCAATGTAAGCATTTCATTTAGAATATATTAACCTTGTTACTCGCACTATGAATCCCTACATGGAAATGCACTGGAGTGTTGGAGTGTTGTACTGGGTTCTTTCCAGTCTTACTTACTACTCTTAGACCAAATAATTTCTGCAAGGAGAAACACGTGTATCGGGTCTCTTTAGGGTATAGTACCTAATAACAAAGTAGAATCAGGAATAGTGGATTTTAACAGGGTCTGTTAATCTCATTGCACAAAAACTTTAACCAAGCAGAAAGCTTTTCTGGAATAGGACACACAATACAAACTTATTTTCTTTCTCTCTCTCACCTCTCTTTTCCTTCATCTTCTTTCTCTCTCTTCTTTTCTCTCTCAACCTCTTTCTTTAAGAGTTTGTGGTGTGTAGAGAAGGGGAAAGAACTTGTCAGGGGAAAAGGAGTTGGGGTTCACTGATATTCTTTAAACCATGAATTTTTTACCTAGAATTTATCAACTTCTTTTTACATAGTCATTTTCTGGTTTTAAAGAATTCTCCTTTTGCCAATACAAACCTAATGCTTGTTTTTGTTTTAACCTTCTAGATTTAAGTTGTATGTAGAAACCATTTACTTGTGTGTTTTAGTCAGTTGCCGAAACAATAGGGTTCACTCATTCATTCCGCAGGTATTGTGCGTCTCAGGAACATACATTTGAAAACAGCAATGCCTTACTTATAGTGATGGGTAGTATGGAAGGTACCCATAACCAATCATAGCATTATGAGAATGGGACAATTTATTAAACTAAAAATTCTTGGACACTGGGAAGAATAAAGCATGGCTAGTCTAGGGAGGTTGATTGTAAACCAGATCACATTTTGCTTTTGCATTGGGGATAATAAATGCCAAGAGGCATGGAAGGTCACCAAGAAGAGAGGAAAAGCTAATTGAATCCCTCCTAAATTCTATTTGCACACCTTGAAAAGAGCACCACATATTGAGTTTGGGAGAGGAAAAAATAATGGGAGTGGAGGGGCTGGTCTTGAGTAGGGCAGAACCAGCATTTACCTGACCACTAGGTATATATATGTATATCTATCCCAGGCATTGGGCTGCAGGGCGTCCAGGAAAGCGGAGAGTCTCTGCCAATTCTCCTGGAGTGGAGAGCAGCAGCTCATGACACTATCCAGGGGCAGAAATAATGCACCTGTCCCTTAGATAACCTTTTGCACCCGTGGAGTTTTCAGCACTCCTGATAAACATCAGGAATCTTCAGGCTGCTGAATAAACCAAGAGATTGCTTCTAACACATTTCCATTTCACTCTTAATAGGCAAATTTAAGGGAGGTGGGAGTGCAGCAACCTTACACACTGAGAACACGTGTATTTATACTGGTATTTGGTTTGATGTGGTTGTTTGCACAACAAAAGAGAAAAACAGCTGAATTATTTTACCTGTTGAGTCTAAGTGGGCAAAATAGGGGGGAAATGGTGATCTATTTTTCATAGCAAAAAATAATATCTAATTTATATTTCAAAATTACTTATGCTCATTTATTTTAACTATCGACAAAAAAGCTCTACCTGTTTTTAAAAAGCTACTGTTCTATTAGTAAGTGCTTAGAAAATATAAAATAGAAAAAATTTTACAGACGATATCCTTACATCTTTATTTTATAAATGAAGACCCCACTGTCTCTAACTTAACCCCAAATCCATCTCCAAAAAGTGTCATTATCAAGACTTGATTTTTAATACCACTGTCCACCAAGCCAAAATGCTCACAAATTTTTCTTCTTAGAAAACTGATAGCTAGGATAAGAGATACAAAATTGTTTATATTAGTGCTTTTCTTTGTCCTACTCTTAGGGAGATAGTGATACTTTTGGAGTATCAGTAGTATTATATGTTAATTGGAAATGACTTCATCTTCAAATAAGGATGCATTTTTTTTCACAAAAGAAAATTAATCCCAACAATAGCAAACTAGAGGGCTATATCACATTGGTTGCAAAGTGAGAAAGAATTCTTCTACACTTATCAGCCATGCACACAAAGCCCAATCGCTTTGTGCTAAATTGAATGTTCAAAGTTCAAGTGAGGACTTTAACCTCTTTTCTTTCCTCCATTCTGCTTCTTTCTTTCTTTCTTTTCTTGATGCTGGCATTTCTTTCAAAGAGATGCACAATCACATTTCCATTTTAAGGTTCTGCTATAAAGTTTGCATAACAAACGTTTGGCAGCTCGCTCTCTTACACTCCATTAACAAGCTGTAACATATAGCTGCAGGTTTCTATAATCTCATTAATATTTTGGAAACTTGAATATTGAGTATTTCTGAGCGCTCATTCCCCATATGCCAGAGCACTCCTGCCATGCTGACTGGTTCCTTTCTCTCCATTATTAGCAATTAGCTTCTACCTTCCAAAGTCAGATCCAAGTATCCAAGATACTAGCAAAGGAATCAACTCTGTGTGGAAGCTAAGCATGCTTAATATCACCCAAACAAACAAAGAGGCAACATTTTTTCAAGTAATGAAGATAAATAAATCCGTTTAGTCCTTTGGACACTGCTGGTGCCTTCTAGAATTTGTATACTTTAAGCAGCTAGCTTTATATTCGATCTTTGCCTCCCACTCACCACCACTTTTATTTGTGTAGGGTTTTGGCTCGCCACACTTTGGGAAACTTATTTGATTTCACGGAGAGCTGAAGAAAGATTATTTTTGGCAACAGAGACGTTTAAACACGTTCTTTATGGTACAGATCTAACTGGGGGTCCAACTTCAGAAAAAAGGGGAGGGGGAGTGTGATTTTCTTAGTTTTAACTGATAGGAGACCAATACTTTTGTAAGGCCTGGCTTCTGACTGATTTTACATATTCAAAGCTAAATGTCTGGTCATTATTGAAGAAAGTGATTCTCACCTCCTTGTGTGTTTTGAACCCAAAGAGAACTTAAGGTAGCCAATTCCTCAATTACAGTCTAGACTTCTCAGTTGCAATCTGGAAAAACCTATGAGTGCGGGCACCAGGGAAAGGTGACCTCTGAGTGAGCTGCCTGCAGTCGGTTTTGTGCAAAGGGGAAATGGGCTGGGGGCGTGTGTATAATAAAGGTGAAAGTTTTCCTCTGTATTGCCTCTCGCTCACCGCCCTCACCGCTAAGCCGGGCAGAGTTCCAGACGCCTGCCACCGAGGGCCCTGCCCTCCTCCTGCTATGCCCCTCTAACAAGAGGAGGCGCAAGGAGCAGAGAATGGGTTAAACCCGAGGATGCAGGGGAGGAGAAAAGTCGAGCAAGATAAAGAAAAGGACAGGAACCAAGAAGCGTGGGGGTGGCTTGCCGTAATGTGAGTGTTTCTTAATTAGAGAAGGCCTGACAATAGACGGGCTGGCAGAGGCTCCTGGCCGTGGTGCGGAGCGTCTGGAGCGGAGCACGCGCTGTCAGCTGGTGAGCGCACTCTCCTTTCAGGCAGCTCCCCGGGGAGCTGCACAGCCACATTTAACACCATCATCACCCCTCCCCGGCCTCCTCAACCTCGGCCTCCCCCTAGTCGACAGCCTTCCCCGGCCCCCCACTGGCTGAGCTCACAGAAGCGAGCCACTCTCGCCGCCTCCCGCACTCGGTCAGGGCCCCTCTCTTCCCCCAACTTCGCAGCGGGAGCCGCCACTGCCCACTGCACCTCCCAGCAACGAGACAGTCAAGAAAAAGAAGCAGCGCAAAGTTTAAGTCAAGCAATGCCAAGGGGAGGGGAGACTGGAGGCGGCGGCGGCGGGGAAAGCTGTGAGGTTGTCCAGGAAAAGCTGGGCCCGGGGGCTGAGTCACCTGAAGCATTGAACCAGCTCAAGGAAGCCTTGGGGTCCTCCAGAGCAAGCGATTGCCCCGAAGTTGCAAATGCGCTCCCCCTGACCCATTGCCACTGCTGGACTGGAGCTGATAGTTGGAGATCCACACCAATGACACATTTCCTCTATCTGTCCATTATTCTAAAGGAAGAGGGTTGGGGTGGGAAGGATGCTTTTAAAGTTCTCTGGGCTTAAATGTTAATTGAAA